TTTTCCTACTAATTTCCGAAAGATAACAATTATAAATAACGCCCGAAATTCATATGCTTTAAAAGATTTTTTTTTAAAGAACTAAGAAAAGTAAAGGCTTTTTTTTAAATTAATAGTGAAAACACCACAAAAGATAAAGCAAAAACCTAATAACCTCCGCTTTTTAGCTATATAATCGGGCATCGTTACAAATGCTGGATTTCTTATTTATAGTTTATTTCTACACTCTTTGGAGGATCACAAAATTTTATTAAGGACGAAGCAATAGTATGAGTAGTGTTAATTTTATTGAAAAGCTGAAAAGTTGCATCTTTGCAAAACGGAGCGGATTGCCGCAGGACGTTCACTAATACATATTAAAAAAACGGCGTTTACTTTAGCCACATACTTAAAATTTTATTAAAAAAATTGGTCCAACACTTCATTGTTTCAACTCATTGCAGCTAACGAAGTAAAAAAGATGAATTAAACTTAATGATTTTTAATTATTATTATTTTTCAGAGCTTAATTAGTTACTGCAATTCAGCCGCTTGTATTATAATGAAAAATAACATACATAGTAGTAGATAGAGCCTTTATAAATACTAAATATTATAATAATAAAATTTATAATATGAAAATAAAAAAAATTTAATTGTATTTTAAAGGTAAAAATATTTACAAAATAAACTTTTAAGAAAGTTAACCTGCAATAAAAGATATAAAATATGATAAAAATACTAAAAATATAAACAGATTGGCAAGAAAAAAAATTAAAAACTTTAAACCCAATTTTTTTTCTTACAAAATGCAGGTGGTTTTTGCACTCACGTGTTGCTAAAAATAATGAAGACAGCCGCAATATTAGTAATAAATATTATTTTTTCTCTTTTATACATAAATATTTATATAGATTGAATAAAAAAATTCCAACGTAAAACTTTTAATATTATAATACTCATAACTATAAGAATACCGTTTCGGCGTGGGCGAACCTAAAATGCGCGTTGAGTTTTCCTCCTTTTTTGCATATATAAAAAATAACTATCAAAACTGTTTCGTACCATCGTGATAATAAAGAACACCATTCGCGCTCTGAATGATTCCGTTCAGCAAGTCCTCAAGCAACGGGGCAGCAATCTTATAGTTGGCCTCATAAGCATATGATTTCTTCCACCAATGCTTCAAATCTGTTTATTTTCATATTAAAAAATATATATAATTTTTAAATAAAGGTTAAAAAAAATAAGAACCTTCATGAAATTCTAATACATATAAGTTTTCTACAGTAAGAAATTCACACCTGATGAGTTCACAGAGAATTTATTATTATTGTTATTATAATTTCTATTATTACTATCGCTATAATTGTTTTTTCATAAAAACTATATATAGTGAACCAAGTGCTTAACTCTCCAAAGTGAACTGTGCGATAACTGCAAAGCCTATAAATCCCCTTCAACTGTCCAGAAAAAAATAATAAAATATATGAGTTACTAATAGTTATTTTTAATGATAAATAAACTTCATAAGATTAAAGTAAAATTGCAGGGATAACTAAAAAACTTGAATATTAAAAGATGTAAATATAGAAAGTATATATAATAATAATAATAAGGAGTCATAACTAATTTATAATCCATCGACTCCAAATTCAGTTTAGTAGATACTTCTTGTAGAACTTTCCGATAGAGACTTGACCTTCGAAATGCGCGTTGCTGTTGCTTAAAAGTAGCTTTCTTGGCTATACATTATATATATAACGTAATAGTAGTTTCAAATATTCAATAAGATATTATTTATTACTATTATATATAATAATAACTTCATAAATCAGAAAAATTCGGAGTTTAGGGGTATATTTAAATTTATAACTAGTAAATTGTAAATTACATAATAATGGTAATTACTTTTAACTATTTCATTACGTAAATATTATAGTTTTCTGTAGACTGCAGTAAAAATATTTATAATTTTTTAACTTTCGTGAAGTTCTTTATAAACTTGACACGTGTCGAAAAAGCGCAGGAAAATATCCTTCTCCTTCCCTGTTGAAAGTATGTCGACCGGCTGATACCCGCAGCTTCCAAGGAAGCCGGTTCCTTCAAAGAGGCCATAAGCAAAGGCGGATGCACTTATAATAACAATAAAGTCAATAGCATATTTAATAAAATGGAAAAAAAATGTATATAACAATATTCTCAACATAATAAAAGATATAATAACAGCAACAAATATAAGATATTGTTGAATAAATATAATTGAGATTATAAACTTGTAGTACGCAGTAAGGGCCATGGCGAATAGTAAAGTTAATTATAAATAATAAACATTATATTGATAAAAGTAATAATAATAGAGATAAATATACACTTAATAATATCAATAATAAAGAGAAAAGTAAAATAAAAAAGATAATAATAATAGACCTCATGACTAAAGAAAAAATAATAATAAAACTGAACACGCAAAAGACCTGTGACTGGTCCTACTAACTTCAGTTTCTGATAATTTATATTTTGTAGGCGAGTAAAAATTATTAAAAACAGCAGGAAACCTGTGAAAAGTACTCTTCAGCAAATTGTTGGAAACGTCATTGATAGTAAAAAAGTTCATGATTTATTATAGAAATGAGAGAAGGTATAACATCCAAAGTTTTTTACTTTTAATTATTTTCTTTCAGAAAGTGTTGGTTAAGTTATAAATATTCTAAAGGTTTAAAAAGCTGCATAATGCTGGAAGAACAGCAGTGCCCAGCTAAAAATCTGCATACAAACTATAGTTCTCGCTACCAACGTATTAGTGAAAAGCCAAGGAGAATTACTTTTGACAATTTTTTTAGCTGGAAAAATTACAAGATAAATTTAAAATTTCTACCTATAATTATAAAATGATGTAAAAAAAAGTATTTTAATATGCAAAATTCCAAAAGAGAAACGCAGACAAATTAAATTTGAAATTCACTGGCCGCCTTATACACGACTATACAAATCACTACCCAGAGCTGCCGAAAATAATACATATATATAATATTTCAAAGTAGAGATGTATTAACAGAAAGACTTTTATAAAATATACATTAAAAATAAAGGATTTGCTAATTATTATTACTCGGTTGAATGGTGCTCAGTAAAACATGAGTTTCGAAGCTTCGCTTTTTCTAAGCACGACTACCATTAGTAAACAAAATGCTCAACTTTATAAACAGCATTGTGTAAAGTAATTTTTTTGCCCGATATTAAAGTTACTATAAATCTGACTTTGACAATTTTTTAAAATTGAAGTCAAAGCTAGAAAGCGTAATAAAGTTAAAGCCGAATAACATAACAATAGTTTTTAAAGAGCTGACAGTGAAGTTCGTGTTAAGGTGGAGTCTCACAGTGATTATTAGCGGATCTCTAACACAATCGTAACTTTTTTTTTTGTTCCAATGCTATACATAATAAATAATTCTTTGCAAATGGCAATCTGCATCAACCAAAAGTAGTTTTTTTCAAAAAGATCTGAAGAGTTTGTGGTACTTAAATAGTGAAATTCTTCTAAGACAAAAGTATACGTAAACGTAAATAAGTGGAGGAAGTAAAAAAAAAGTACTATGAAATTAACTTTAAAAAATATTACTACAAACTGGTTTCATAAGATCTTAAAATTAGTAAGAATTAAATTACAGTATGAATATTACTTTTATATTCTGACATTAGAAACATTTCCAAAATAATTAATTTCTTTAACAAAAATACTAATTTCGTTTAAAAACGTTCTCTTCTTGTATTACTTATAATTGTAAAAAATAAATTATATAGTGGTAATAATAATTTTCCGTTAATCATTATCACAAATAGATTTAACAAATACTGTAATGATTATTTATAAAAAAACCGGGCCTTTTTTTGATGCGCTTCGCCAGATTATATTGTTCAAGCTCTCCTTGCTTAGTTAGTAAAAGAGCTTCTTCAAATGAATAAGAAGAGTTCCACTGCAGCTAAAATTATAATTATGATAAAATTAAATTTAAAAATGTATGGATATATGAAACCGAAATAATTATTAAATCTATATAATATATTTTAGTAAAATTAATATAAATTGCAAAGCGTTACAGTAACAAATAATAAAATGAACACTAAAATGGCCTTTTTATAAAAAAAATAATGTAGTTGTAATTCAAAAGAAAATTCCAAAACTAATTAATAAAATTTAATGGAATGGTGAACTAATAATTCGTTGAGCACAGTAAAGTTTTACACTATTGACTTTCCCTTAATACTAAAATCGTAATATAATCTATAAGTCTACTGTAAATATTAGTAAATAAACTTTTAAAAACGTACTAATAAAATTTATAAAAATGAAAAAAGTCAAACATTAAATAATTAACTAACTGGTATTTTAAAGAATCGTCAAACAGAAATACAAAAAACTAATTTTTAACGTCTAAGCATTTCAATATATATGAACTTTATTATGTGCTTAACAAAATTTTATTAAACAAAGAAGAAAAAAACGTACAACCCACGAGTTTTCAGAGGTTTTAATTTTTGCTTTCTCAATTTCTGATCAATAATTTATTTTTACCGAATAAAACCGATAAGTACTTTGAAAGGTTATTATATTATGTAATTGAAAGAAATCCAGCAACTAAAAAATAATAACAGTATTTTTACTTATCGTCTGCAATAATTTATTGATGTTTTTAATATCTGAAAATCCCGGATTTCTAATTCCATGACGCACAACCCCTTGGATGTGAACAGCTCGGCAAACTTTATTATCAGGAAAAGTTGAATCGTAAATCTTCGGAATAGTGTATCCAGTTTTTGTCGAAAAATAAATTCTTTTGTGATTCTTTTTGGGTATATAAAAGTAATTATATAATTGTAAATAGATTAATAAGGTGTTACTTAGTAACTACTTGAAAGTAAATCGTCAAATAATGCGTATTCTTTTTTTTTAAAGTTATATTTTGAAAAAAAAAGTGCATAATCATAGACTCAGAGAAAAAAAGTTTTGTTACTTACAACTATTTCGGGGCTAACATGGAAGAGGTATAATCCTAAAAACCAAAATTTCATAGGCCTTTTCTTAGTCCACCTCTAAACTCTATACAAATCTTTTACAACAACAAGGAGGCTAAAAGTTTAAAGAAACCCAAATGAGTAATTCCTTCTTAAACGGCCTTTTATAAACTTCAAAATATCCAAATTTTTAAAGGTGTTTTGTTTACCCTCACCCGAAGTAAAAACGCTCCATATAAGGTATAAAATATATGGTATATTGAAGGTATGACAGCGGTTCACTCGCTCTCCTGAGGGTTAAAACCAAGCTAAGGGTCCCAGGGAAGGGGGGTCCTGGCCCTTAGAAAGGGGTTATATATAGATTTATGAATTACTTATTTGAATTGATTAATACTCGTGCTGCTGAATTTAATACCATTACACATCTCTCTAAGACATAGGCTTATCTAAGCAAGTGTACGTGTAGAGGGTGACATAATTTCGTTAAAACATCGCTAAAAGAAACCCGCGTTTATGGAAGGTAGGCGTTTAAGAAAACTTCCTTTAATTACAAAACGGGTCAAGTTGTAACAGTGAAACTAAATGGCCTTATATACTAGCAGTTATTGTCTTTTTTACAAGAACTTTTTTAAAGGGCACCATAAACTTCCTAATCCTCAAAGATTTTATTTTGACCATTTAGTTCGCGTGTCCGCAGAAGATACCGAAACGTTCCAGGTGTTTCGTAATATGCTCGACTTAAAAAGTGTAATTAACTCTCTGCAAAGATCTTACTATCAATTTTATCAATTTTGTGTGCTTTTACTTGTGTGGGAGTTACTGTGTGATTGTTGCGACTACTTTCTGCGGAAGAATCGAGAAACTTTAACAATAAATTTTCATATTTTTTTGTTTTTACTTGTCTCTAAACTCGTTTTACTAGTTTTATCTCTTTATGTCTATATCATAAATTAATTACTATAACTATATATAATATCTGTAATAGAATGAGTTATTATTATTACTAGGTTTCACATCTGTACTTACTTGTGTCTTTGACTACATTACCCATCATTGATTGTAGGTTGTTACCTTTTGCTTAGTTTCTTGTCCACGTAACAATCAAAAACACTAAGCGTTCCAGGTGTGTAACTCTGTTAACTAGCCCTCAAGACAGACGACTAATAGTTTCAATCTTAAATACTTAAAAGGAATGACGTGAAAACAAAAAATTATTAGGCATAAAGGATTGTTGCGCATTCAAAAAATGAGGCGGAAGGGGCGGAGGGTATTAACTTTAAAAATAAAAGTTAATATTTGCTTATAACTTTTTGGTAATCTTAACAAGAATATAAGAAGATTTTTAAAGAATTGCCACACTTTGTAGCTAAAAGACCACTCTTATCTGGTGAGAGCGTTGCTATAAAGAGGTGTGTGACGGTTAAGTCGGCAGGCATACCATAACTTCTTCGCGCTATAAGCGTAGAGCCCTCTCATAGTTGATTGGATGTTATTAAATTTATGTCGGCTTAATAAACAAATTTGTAATATCGCAGTTTTTTATGGATTACAATATATGTTGAGCTTGAAGGGTATTAAACTTATAAGCAGACTAAAACACACAGTAGGCCTGCTGTTTTAAGTTATTTAATGTTACATAAATTTGCTATATCATCGACGCTTTAACAAATTAGTTTATAAAAAATTAAAGTAAGGTAATTTTACTTTTAACTTAAATTTTATATAATTTAATAATTATTTTTTATTGCAGTTTGGTGGTATGAGCAACTTAAATGATCTCTTAGATTTGAATCCGACCAAAAACATTTTTTTGGGTACGAGAAGTTCTTTTTTGTTGTAATATTATTATCTGTTAAAAATTTATTTTTTCTTAATTTTAACGTGGTTTTCCACCGTTTTGAAGACTTTAATTATTTAATTTAAAATAAGGGTCAATGAAGGATACTGGGACAACTTATAATTCTTTTAATTTAGATTACACTTCTAATACTCAACCTACTAATTATAATAATTACGATAATAGAAAAAGTAATAATTTGATTATAAGAAATAACGTTAGATACGATTCGAAGGAAGTTACTGTCCCAAGCAATATCCATACTGAAGAAAAAAGTCAAGTAGAATTTCAATCTTCTCCCATAAATGCTTATCAACGTAAATAAGATCGTCTCTTTACTACTAGTTTAATTTTTAAATTATATACAAGAAGTAAGTATTTGCGCACTACTCAAATTTTTATATATGATTGTGCGCACAAAACCTTTTGCCTTTTACTTATATATTATATATATATTTTTTTATTATACGCAAAGTTTTTACTAATATATACATGTTACTTTTATTGTTACATTTATTTTTTTTTAATTATATCTTGTTTAAATTGACTTATTGAGTTTATTTTATCACTAGTAATATATATTTTGACAGCAAATTAGTATTATATCAATTAAGCATTATATATATTACTTAACTTTATGTGTTTAGATTATTATTACACTTTTTTGTGTATTATTTTTATAACTTAAAAATTGTCAGATTCACCGCAAAATAGCTAGTTAAAAGTTTAGCGATTTATACTTTATTAAACGCAATTTTAAATTATAAGAGCCGCAAGTTAACGTTTCTAAAAAACTTTCTTCTGGATTTCACTGGAGCGTCGATCAGTATAAGGTCCTCTTTTATTATAAAAAAATAGTTTGAAGCAGAAAATTATTTTTATTGCTTGCCTTTTAGATGAGTTAAAATTTACACAAATTTATGGTAAATAATGAAGTTGATTAGAAAGTTTATTATCGATTTATAACAAATGTTATAAATTTTTATCTTAATTTAGATAGTAGTTAAAAACAATCTCTAATGCATATTAGTATATAAATTCTTCAGTTATATATAAATGTTATTTTGCCCTTATTAATATTATTGACACCCAAATAAGACAATCGTGCTTATTTTTTCTTTAATTTCTTTAAATAAATTGAAAATTAAATAAGTGTAATTATAATCCGAAGTAAAGTTTCCAGAAAAACACTTATATGTATTGATTTAAGAAGTTTATATCAAGTTTATAACATATAATATACTTTCATTATATTTTAAACATATTTTTAAAATCTTTTTCATTATTTATTAAACATTACCTTTCAAGTTTTTTAATTTTTCATTTTTTTTTTAAATTTTACAAAGTTATTAACACTTTCCTTAAACTTGCGCTTTCTCATTTTATAGAAAAATTATTATAATGTGGAAATTTTTTTATTGGTAGTCAATTCTTTATGTTTTTTTGATTTTTTGAATCTATTTATACTTTATATTAACTTTTATTTCGCATATGTCTTTTTGTTACTTTTTTACTTTATTTTAATAATTATTTAATTTTATGAAATGCTGCAAGTATAATTATAAATACTTTTTAGTTTCAAAATAGCGTAACGTTTTCTTTAACTAATCACAAAAATATTTATTAATTTTGTTTTTTTTAAGTTTCTTATAAAATATTTTTTTGAGGCACTTTTTTAACGAAAAGATTGCGAGTACCAGATTTACTTGCTTTTTATTTTTATTTTAAAGAAAATTATGTTTAAAAAAAGTTTTCATTATTTCTTTACTTACATCTTTTTATATTAAAAACTTCTCATAGTATTTTTTATTATCTTTAAAAATTTATTAAAGTGAAGCTTTTTAATTAATTAATAAACAAATTTCTTAATAATAAAAAGTAAATTGCTCTACTTTTTATTAGTCCTATTGTTTACTTTTTACTAAATTTATTAATTCTTAATAAGTTTTGCGTTTTATTTTTTTTAAGGTGTATAGAATAATTATACATATACTTAAGTTTATAGTGTAGGTGATTTATTACTATTATAATTTATTTTTGCAACTATATTAAATGTAATTATAAATACTACCCACAATTATGAATATAAAAAATTAATAAAAAATTAATAAAGTTTATATTATTGTTATTATAATATATAAAATGATTATAATTATAATTACAACAATAATTATTATATTAGTAAAGATAATAATTTATAGAAATTTATTTGGTAATAATGTATTTCTACTTTTTTAATCACAATTTATAAAATCTTAAAGATAATAATTTATATGTAAGAATAAATTTTGTTATTAAAGCTTTATACTAAATTTATTTATTATTATAATAATAATATAATAATAGTATATATAATATTATATATTAGAAGTTACTAATAAATTTATATAATAATGATAGAAAAGTTATACGTTTCTAATAATAATAAGTTTAATAATTTTCAAAAGCTTCTTTAATAATAAATATATACATTATTATAATATAATAATAATATATAATATATTATATAATTCATTAATTTTTAAGCAATAAACCATAAATTTACTATCAATATTACTTTTCTCTAATAATAATTATTATTAGCGTTTTTTCTATCGTCAATATAAATTTTTATTTATATATTTTTTTGGAATTATCTTTTGTCGTGTAATTTTTTTATTTAATAATATACTTGCTATAATTTTCTATTTTTTTTCATTTATCAGCATACAAAGCAATATCTTCTAGAAAAGTTAGGAAAAGTCCCAAAAACTTTAAATCCACAATTAGTAGAACGCATTACTTGCTTGAAACAAAATAAACGAAAATATTCGGAACTGAGAAAAACTTATACTTCAGTTTGTTTATATTTATTTGCTTCATTTTTTTTAAAATATTTAATATGTAATTTGAAGCACACAAATTTTATTATAATAAATAAAAGAAACTTTTAGAATTGTCATAATATTTTTTGTACTAATTTATATTATAATTATTTGTAAACCTTTTTTTAATAAATTTTTGTTATATATAGTTTTATTTATATTTATTTAATAATGAATACAACCGACAAGTACTTTTTATAAAAAACTAAGAGGACTTAATTGTGATATTTTTATTATATTTTTTTCATATTTTATCAATAAAATTGCTAAGCATCGTTTTTATTATATACGAAAATTTTTAGAAATTTAACATAATTTTATAGTAATCTTTTAATATATTTATTAATAAAACTTGCTCTTCTCACCATATTATACAAGGAAACTTTTTTTTTATTGTATATGCTAAGAAATTGCTCTTCTTAAGTTTATTATTCTTATATTTTTTTATAAAAATATAATCTTTGCGACTCTCTTTTTATATTTATATATATTATATTTATTCTATTTAATATATTACTATGTAATATATTTTTTAAAGTTTTAAAAATTTTAATTATGTATAAAATTATAAAAGAGCTAGAAAGATGAATACACTATAAATTTTGTTTATTTTTAATAAATAATTATTTAATATTATCATAAAATATAAGAAGCCGTAAAAATTATAATATAATTAACAAAATAATAATTAAAATTTGTAATCGGAATAATAATTTTTTGTAATGTATTGCATGTAATAAATATTTTTCTTTATTAAATAAAAAAAGAACTTTAACAATAAGAGAACTATAACGCATTTCTTTTTAAAAATGATACCAAAAATATATAATTTTAAAAAAGACGCCTTAAATAAAATTAATGTTATAATTTTATAATTTTTTTTAAAGTGGAGATATTCATTTTAAATTATAATAATTATCAAAATTTAATGATTTATAAAAAAATAATTTATCAGTACAACTTAAATAGAGATTTTTTAAATTTATATTAACATATAAAATTGTTATAAAGATTTTTTTTAACATTTTATAAAATTATAATCATAATTAAAAATATCTATTATAAATTTTTTGTTATCTAACTAATTATTATAAAATTTTAAAAAGAAGTATATTATTAATGGTATTAAAAAAAATCCATCAATTTAAATTTAAGAAAAGGAAAAAAAAATATTTGAACATTTTCATAATTTTATAATTATTGTTCCTTTAAAGTAAAGATATTTATTAATACTATTATTAAACTTAATACTTTTATTTAAAAAAAAATACAGTTTACTATATTATTTAAATAAAATTTTAAACTTTTATCAGTGTAGTAAATTGGTAAAAAGATATTTTTTATCATTTTAAAGAATACTATTAAATTTTTTTATAAAGTTGTGATATTTATTATAAGTTTATAATAAATTTATAATTTTAATATAAATTTTTTTTTAATATTTAAAAAAGAGAAAATTAATAGAAATATGAAGTATATTGTTTATTATTCTAATACAATTAAAGTTATAATAAAATAATGTATTTATATTGAATTTTTTTAGAATATGAAACTTTTGGTTTCCAGTAAATAATTATTCTAGAGCCAGAAAGTGTGACTTTATTTTATTACGTTAAAAAAAAGTTATTTAGTAGGATGTTAACAAACTCTAAGACTTTTTATACTATGAAAAAGCGTAATAAGAATAAAATTTATATACTATACTTTGAAAGAAAAGTTGTATTTCTTTTATAAAACTTCAAAGTATATTCTTTTAATATTCGAATACGTTTAAAAATTATTACTGTAATCAATAAAGTTAAAATTTTACTTATAAAATTTAGATGTAAAATATTATAATAAATACTTGGAAAAGTTTTTTTATTATATTATTAATTATAAATAAGAAAAATATTAAATATATAAAGTTATTGAATAGAGTTCTTGAAAATCATAATTTAATAAGTATCCATAACAATATATAAAGTTTTTTTTATAAACGAGATAATAGTTTTATAAATATGAAAGTAGTCTTGATGCAAAATATTGAGAGGCATTAGAAAATATTTATTATAGAAAAATAGAAAAAAAAAAAACTAGCAAAAAGGAAATTTTATGATATTTTTTCTATTTATATTTTGAATCCTACTTTTTTTACTTATTGATTAATGGAAAGTGAATTGAAATATATTAAAAGTAAAAGTTGAAAAACATTAAAATATTTTTATATTAATTAACTTATTTGTAGTGCAAAATAATAAAGTCAAAACTTCAAAGAAAACTTTCTTTCATATTTATAAAAACTTTATTTAAAGTTGTATTATAACTTGTATATAAGCTTAATGCTAAAAAAAATAAAAGTAAAAGTAAAGAATATTTAAAAATAAGCGATTATTATTATTTACATGTTATCTAAAGTTTTATGTGAAATTCAATTTTTATCATAAAAAGTTTAGAATTTATTAAAGCATTATGAATTTTCCATTATTATTTTTAAATTATATAAATATTGCATTACCTTTATTATTATTATTATAATTTTTTATATACTTATGTTTATTATAAAAAGTTTATTAAGTTTTTTAATATATTTTTATAAAACATAAGCTTGCCAGGCATTTTTCACGGGAAATGGAACTACACAATTCTTTGCAGGTTTTTTAAGAAAAGTTATAATACTTTTAATGAAAGTTTATATTTTTGAGTTTTATAAAATGTTATATTTTATTGTAAATTTGATAAAACTTTTTAAAGTTTATATTATTGAAACTTCATCAACGGATGTCTTAAAATTTTAAAGTTGCTTATATTTTTTTACCTAAAAAAAGTTTATAATTTTAACGTTTAATATATGAATTGTATAAAGTATTTAAATTATTTAATTATATTTGTACAAATATTATAAATATATGTTTATATATGGATTATATAAAGTATCGATTGCCCTTTTATTTATACTAAAATTATAAATCTTTTATCTTAACGATCTTTATTATATAAGAATATTATTAATATCGTAAACTAAGAGTTTGAGATATTCTTAATAATAATTAAATACTTTTTTTATAAGAAGGCCACATTTACGAAGTTTTTTAATATGCTTGAATTTATTTATTATAACTTATTAACTTCTATTAAAAACTTTGTTTTATGAAAAAGTTGTTTGTATAACTATTGCATTACTTGTGCTCTTTAAATTCTTACTAGGTAAATAAAATATTGTTACGTATATTTTATAAAATATATAAGTAGAAGTTTCTAATTACTAGTTTTATAGCGAAAAAGTAAAAAAAAATGTTTTACACATCGTAAGTTAAAAGTGATTATGAAAAAAAAATTATTGAAATGGACTAACGATGATTTATTAAGTGGAAACAATTAAAGTAATCATAATAAGTAGAAAGGTAAATGAAAAATGCAGATGAAAATATTGTGCATAGCAAAAACAATACTGAATTGATACACCCCTCAACACGCTTTTGTATACGCTAAACTTTGCATGAACTTTTTATTTTTTGCCCTAAAGCGATATATGAAGGCGCAGGTTGGCAATTTTTAAGCTTCCCTGTAAAAGTAGAGGTATACGGAGTCAAAATGCGGTACAAAAATGCTGTCCATTGGCTTCACCGCGCGAAATTTATAGTAAATATAAAAAAATATTACCAATAAGAGTGAAGAATTTTTATATGTTGGGATAGTAATACTGAAAAATATATTTAATGATGACTTTTATTAAAGAAATTTAAAATTTTAAAGCAAAATGGGAAAAAATAAAGTTTTTTAATTTCGCACATTCCCTTCCTGTCGGATAGCACAAACGTATTATAGCAGCTGTAAGTGTTGCTATCGCATTTTGATATTAATTATTATAACGAATTATATAATGCACACTTCACTATTCATTATATTTAGTTTAAAAAATTGTCGAGTTATTGTTTAGCTATTTTTTCTTGAGCCATAAATAAATGGCAGTAGTTATATTCGCTACCAGGAAATAGTACGTTTTTCAGTAAAGGCCTCAAAATACAATAGTTTGCGGGTGTATACAATTTTACTATGTCATGTGCGCTTCAGTAAAAACTATGAAGCGTAATACGTAAAGGAAATGATATATTTTCAAGCTTGCGCATCTTTGTTTTAATAATAGCTGCATTCACATTTTTTGGGAGTATTCTGGAAGAGCTCTGCTACGAAGAAAGTGTTAAAAAAACGCGTGGATTCCTAAAAACTTTTGCGATACTGCGATCTTTTTATAATTATATATTAAATATCATAATCCATTAAAAGTTCGCCCAAAGTTAGAACCGTTTATTACTATTACCACTAATAATAAATTAATAATATAATTTTTTTTTTCTTTTCGTATATTTTCTTCACACACGTTTAATTTTTTTAAACACTTTCAGTGAAATTATCTTTCTATTCATGAAAAATACCTTTATTGTTTGCGCTTTTAGATGCAAATGAACGAACTTTCACTACAAAATCCCGAACTCCGTCCACAGTTTAAAACATCTGCTGGTAAAATTTATAATATTATTACTACTACTATTAATATTTTTTTCATTATTATTACTATTTTTGGTTATTACAGCTACATACGGGTGCATTGCTAAAAATGCTGAAAAACTTAAATTTTGCATCGACACATTCTTGACAGATTTGGAAACTCTCCTTGATAAAGCCATTACAGATGCGATGGTTATAATAACAATAATAACACTTTTGATAAAAGTAAAACAAAGAAATTATTAAACTTAATTAATAAAAACTATAATTCGGCGCATTCCGAAAATAACAATAATTCATCAACTAATCAGGAGTCAGTAAAACTGTATGAAACATGCCGATTGGATTATGATATTGTCAAACGAGAATTTGAGACCGAAGGCCGCACGTGCAATAGCGAACTTCAGGAAAAGAAAAGAAAATTAAATCAAGTAATGCAAAAAAATTCATTTCTTTATTCATTCTGATATACTTTTTTTCATGGCTTAATCTATTTTCGGTATTTTCTTTATGATAAGTTTTTTTTTTACTTTTCCCTTAAAGGCAGAAGAGACGCTCAGAGTTAAAGTTGATTTATTAAATCAGAACAGAATAACAAGGGTAAGTTTACTACAATCATAATGATAATAAAAACAATAATTAATAAAACAGCTGAAAAAACATCTTCGTGTACTCAATGAAGCAACTGTCGCTTTTTATACGGGAAACGAATTAGCGTTAAACAAAGCAATCGAGAGCATCACTTCCAACGTCGACTAACAAATGTCAATAAAAACAGATTGGCTTCCTGCTATTGGTGACTTTGCGATGGGAGTGACCACGTGTTATAATTTTCTTTCATTTTTTAAGCAGAGAAAATCTTTATAAGACATTGATTGAGCGCAGCTCTAATAATAATGAAATACAGTAATAATAATACAAAAGAGATAATGAAATAGAAAAATTATTACAAAATTAAAAACTAATTTTTTATAATAAAAAATCTTTTGAAATCTTAAGAAAGAAATATTTCTTTATTAAAAAAATATAAATATTATTAAAATAAAATAAAAAATATTTAAAAAGTCTAACTGTAATAATAAAATTGATATCGACTTAACTAATTTATAAATTTGAAATTTTCGAATTTTTAAATAAGATTATTTATAAAGCAATAACGAGTAGCTTAACTAAAATAATATTAATATAACAAAATAAAGGAAAATTGGAATATAAGCATATTATATTACATATAAAATTAATTAGATTAAAATATTGTTAAAAGTAAATTCATAAATATAATATTATATAATCTTTTTAAAAAGTTAAATTTTAAAATAAAATTAAGATTAGTATAGTAATAAGAATATATAAATATATATTAAATTTATAAAATTTGATAAATAAGTTTGGAAATGTAATATTTATTCAAAATAAAAACTTAAAAAACAAAAATAACTGAATATAAAAAAAGTTTAAAAAATAAATATATCTATCACATAAAAATTTGATTTTTATTATAACTAAGTAATTTATTAATAGAAAAAAAAAATTAATTTTTGGAAGTAAATTATGTTAAAAAAGCAAATTTGGAATTTATTTGTTTAAAAAGCTAGAATTTATTTTAAAAAATAATAAACAAAAGATTTTGTAAATTTCTTTTTTAATTTATAAAAAAATAAATATATAAATAGTAATAAATTAACTTTTTAACAAAATTTTAGTAAAATTGTTAAAATAATAATTACTTGTAATGATATAATAAATAATCAAATAATATGTATTAAAGTAAAAAGATTCCAAAAAATGAAATTTTATAATAAATTTGAGAATTTATAATCGCAATAAAGTTATAAAAGAATCCTACTCGGTATCTCGTTACTTTAACGGTCTTCCACGTGTCCTCCCGGAGACTACCTGCGGCTGGCGGCGTTAGTGTCGCATAGCAAACTCGCTGGAAACAGCAGAACGGCTACCTTTGAATCCGGATTTCCTTATTAGAGACTGAAGCGTTTCCTTGTGAGTCCAGCCTTTAGATTTTTATAAATTAAATAAAAATCAATATTATAAGTTAAGAATTATAATTTACTATTAAAAACTTATTATTTAATAGTACCAAATTATTATATAATGAATTATTAAAATTATAATAAATTTATTTACAGAAAATATTACTAATTGAATATAAAATTACATTCGTTATACATGGAATTTTTAAAAAACAGAAAAAAATTAAATTTTAGGCAATAATTATATTATCAAGCACCAGTTAAGATAAAAGATTGTACTTTGCTCCTTAGGAACTTCTGGCAAGTACGTTGCAGTGCGTTTAACGCCAGCGTCTGAAAAAGAAATTTGAACTCCATGGACGCCAATCTATTATATATTATTTAACGCTATAAATAAATTATTTTTATAAAAGGTAGTTTTCGGTATTGATATTCTACAGCGAAATAAATAACTTATAATTGCGTGAAAATAGTAAATTTTTTATGTTTTAAATATATTTTTTATTTTAATTGTTCTTTTGATTGAAAGTGTTTTATTAATTGTTGCACTAAATTTAAAATAATTAAACGTTTCCCCCACTTTTCTTAAAAAATAAAAGTATCTTCTGTATAGAAGAACTAGAAAATAATTAGTTAGGTCCAAATTATAATTAATAAAAGTTTTTTTCTTTAAATACCACTACTAAATAATTTATGGTATGCAGTATTATTTATTAAAAAGATCTAACGATCCAATCTTCCGGGTGTTTTGCGGTTTCGAAATCTACAAGTATTGAAACAGTGCAGTGAAGCCGTTTAAATTCACGTAATTGAATGGGCGCAAAACGAGAATCTTTGAAGGCGCTACAAATAACAAACTTTAATCTAATTTTATGAAAGTATTTACTTTAAAAAAAGCTACTTCATAAATTTGAATAGATAAGTAAAACTAATAATTGATTGTGTTAATAACGTAAAGGCTTCTGGTAAGGAACATACTTTTGTTATTAAATAACTAGATTGTAATAATAATACAAGCTATTTAAATGTATTACGTATTTATAGAGCTAAATTTGTAAAGCATTAATTATTCAGTTGAAACTTTTTACCTATTTTATTACATCTTCATAAGTATAAGCTTACTTAACGGGTTAAAATTTAAAAAATCAAAGCATGTAAATCCGAGATGCAAAAGACTTTATAAGATAATTAATAAAAAATATTCTTACTTTTGAATAAAAAATATCGGAAAGTTCACTACTACCTGTTTATTGTATATTCTTTTAAGCCAGTATGCAGGCTTCTCGCCGAAAAAGTTCCTATGCAACCTCTCAATTCAAGTCTACCTCGCTTTTCTTTTTTCCAAGTCACAAAAAGAGGACTTGAAAGGTAATGATGACTTAAAGAACGTCAGTTATTTTTTTAAAAAAAAAAAACAATTTTTTGTCCGGAAAATCTGGAGTTGGTGGCCTGTTAATTTTTCTAAGTTTACAATGAAGTACATTAAAACAGTAGAAGCACATATTTTTTAGCCTGTTTTTGCAGATAAAGGTATCGGAAATATCTGTGTTTTAAAAGTTAGACAAGTTGTATGAATATTACACAGCTTTATACCTAATTTTGAAGTTTTGGTAGTAATGGAATCGCTTGAACAAGAAGAATTATCGGAATACACGTTATTTTTATTCATGCTTAAGAATTATATACTCCATTATTTAACACAACAAACGGAACTACTTCATATGAAATTAATGAAGGAGGTCCAGGGGACGAGTGCGTGCGAAATGGAACACTGAGCACCGAGTACGCAGTAAACGGGTTTTTTTTTACTGGCATTTTATGCTTACCCCCTCTTTATTGGTTTTTCCGGGTGAGCAGCGTAGCAGGAAAATAGGGGCAAGGATAAAGTTATGGAACTTGTTCCTGGAAATATAATTATTGTTGCAGCTAATCAAATTTGTACTAGATGTTAACTGTGAAGAAAACCAAATACCAAATAAGCCGAAAAATATTAATTAATAGACCACGGTGATTTTTTTAAAACCTTAAAAATTCTGTTAGGTCAAAAACTTGTTTGCCTAAACACACTTTAACTTTCGATAAGGATAATGTAATATAGAGGACCACCCCTTCTACACTCCGCACAAAAAAAAGATTCGTTCAGAGAAGTATTTATTATGCTTTATGTAAGAGTAGGCCCATGTTGCTTGATCCAAATTTTTGTACGAATGTTAGATTTCCCTTTACGCCAAAGGTATGAAAGTACTAATAATACCAAAAAAAAGTGCTTAACTATATAATGTGATACTTCGCAGTATAGAGGACGGTGCACTATATTTAAGGGGTTTAAAAATTACTTGAATGACGATTCCTCTTCGACTTGTTTTTATAAACATTTATATAGACTCAACATAGCGCTCAAGAGCTAAAAACATTACTTTAAATCTAAATATCTTGCGCTTTACCTGTAAGGGATGATTACAGTCTTTATAACTACAAGTTTAAACCTTTTGAAACGCGCTTATAACAATAGTTTTAGTTTTCCAAATGTAGTAAAAGACAGTTCAAAGTCACTTACGGAAGGAAGGAAAGTTTATAAGCTTAACATAATATACTGTCAATAGGGTACATAAATGTGCTTTTGCACGAGCGAAATATATACGCTATCTACCGGTCAAATTTCTCGTACGTCCCGACGAGCACCAGGAAATGCCATTAACAAAAAAATGGTCAAATAGTAATCTTTGTTATTATGGTCCTCTGTAATAAGTTGATACTCTCAGATTTGGAAATCTCGACCTCTAAATGACTTTCACCTAACCTAATGGCGTATATTGTATTTGCCTAGAAAAAATGCATAAATTTATGCAGTTAAACCAAATAGATTTGTGCAACAAGCGCGCAACTTTAAAAATTTAAAAGATTTAAACTGGAACTTTGAAACAAGTAAAAACTCTTCTTTTTTAAAAAAAAACATGACAACGGCTTTATTTATCGGAAAACCATTCGAAAGTGTTGCAGTACAAACTCTTGTTCTTATTTTTGTAGCATTTTTATGGGGTATAACCAATCCCTTTTTGAAAATTGGAGCGGAAGTTTCAAAAGAAAATAAAAAACCTTGCCGAAGTAAAATTTTTCGGATTGTTTCGGAACTTTTTGGTTTATTTACGACAGTTGAAGTAAGATGTTATAAGTTTTAAATTGTATAATATCAGATTTAGCCTACATTTTAAACGCTATTTTAAATATGCACCTTAAACTATTTTAATGAATAGTACCTGATTCCTTTTCTTATAAACCAAACTGGTTCAATAATATACTTCATTATTCTCAGTAAGGCAGGTTTCTTACCATATAATAAGTTTGTAATAAGGAGAAAAGTTATATGCTATAAGTTTAAATATAAGTTTTTATAATATATATTCTTTTCGACCATTACTTTTACAGACCTTTCCCTTGCAGTTCCTATAACAAACAGCGCAACTACAGTTTTTACTCTTCTTAGTGGCCGTCTCGTAGGTGAAAGAAATCCTTCAAGAAGTACTTTTTAGCCTTATAACTTTTAAATTCTAGTCCCTTTCTAACAGTTAATTTCTAATTTTAAAATCTCTTTAATTTATTTGTAACGGGCAGCACCTTTCCAAAAATTTCAGTTATTTTATTATTTAAATTTTTTTAAATTCACTTAGTTGTAAACGTGAAGTCTTACGTTTTCTTATATAAACGTTATAACGTCGCCCACGAGTAACCGTCCATACTTACCGCTCTTATGTTTTAAGTTAAATTAATATAAGATTGCCTCTTGACGCTTTTCAATAAAAGTTAATTTAGTTGTAAAAAATTTCTATAAATTTTATTATTTTTCCTTTCCTTCAGTTGTGATCAAGATATTAATTTTTAGAGGTAGCTTAAGTAAATTTAAATTTCAGTTTAATAAATATCTTTATAAAATTCAAGTAAAGACAATTAACTTTTTAATTAATTTTTTTTTAAATTTAAATATTAAATAGTTAATAAATTTAAATACATGGTCCCATCTATGTTTTAACCAAAATTCTTTTTCAAAGTAACTTAAGTTTATTCTTGATCTACTGTAACTACGCGTTCCGAGCAAACGAAGAAAATTTAAACTTAAGTTCTATAATCTTAAAAAAGTTATATTCTTACTGAATAATAACTATGAATTGGAAAAATATAGAATTAAGTTCAATTGTTGATAGCGTTAAAAACAAAAAATATATAAGGCAAATCTTTACTTTTGAAAAAAAGTTATTAAAAGTTTTACTAACTTTTCCTTTCGTCTTGTCAATTAAATTAATTATTTTCAATTTTCCTATTATTAATTATAGTCGCTTATATGTTTTAAACTTAATAAAATATTCAAAATTTTTTTAAAAAGTATATAAACTTTTTTTAGTAGTATTAATAAAAATTAATAATTTCAATTATAAAATTTTTAAATTAATTATAACTTTTACATAAGCTAAATATATACCACTAGCCTCAAGCTAAATATATAAATATACACTAATTATAATTAATTGAATACTAACTTTCTTATTTCTTATTCTGTATAAACAGGAACACTCGCGGGTTTATTTTTAATAACTACTGGAATATTTTTATGTGTATTTAGTAAATTATAATCGATAATAACAACCTATAAAAATTATATGGCAATACAATAAAAGTCCAGCTTCCTGTTTAAATAATTTTAGTTTAATTAGAATTTTCTATTAAATTAGATTTTTTATTTTAATATTAAATTATTATACTTTGAAAGTTATTAAAACCGCTTGTGTCTTTAGTGGGGCGCTATACAGTGGCAGTCACAGCAATTCTATTTAAATTTAATCTTTTTAATAAAATTTTAAAAAGGAACGAAGTTAATCCGTTTCAGCGCCTTTCCAGCTATCAAATAATTTAATCATAACTGCAGTGTTTCTCCTTTGCTAGCGTAAACCAGCTAAAAAGGATTCTCTTCAATCTTAATTTTTTCTAAATATAATAAATTTTAATATAAAATTTAAAAGGGGATAAAGCAAATTAAAAATTTAAAAGTATATAAAATTTTTCAATCTATTCAGTAAAAATAATTCATCAATTAATAAATTTTTATAAAAAAAATTGCTTGAATAGCTCGAAGTATATTTATTAACTATAAAGACTTAATTTTGACGCTTTATTAAATTCATAATATATAAATATTATTATAAAAAGGGGTTAATAATAAACTAGAAGAAAAATAAACTATTTAAATTCGCGAATAAAGTATTTGTCTAATCTTAAAAGTTATAACTAACTATAATAAATTAAATAATCTTTTAATATTTACGAAAAAGTAAAAAGTTATCGTAATTTTTAAAAATCATAAAGCGTTGCCCGTTAGCTTCACTCAAATTCAATATATATATGACGCAATTAACTATGATATAAACATTATATAAAATATGGTTGCCAAAATAAAATAATTTTCAAGAGTTATATGGAATTCATAAACGCAGACGCTTAATAGGATTTATTGGACACTGAGCGTATAGGACAAACTTAAACATATATAAAAAATAAGTCTCTCTTTAAAAAAAATAGGAATGCGAACGTAGAGTTAATTATTTTAAGAAAAGTTTATCTATTAATTTATTTTTTAAAATTAAGATATAAGGAAGGAAAGAGAGGAGTGCAAGGAACTAACAAATAAATATTTTTTTAAAAAGAGGCATTATATATGCGATAGTAACTAAGAAAAACTGAACATAAAAAAATAGTTCCTCTTTAAAAGGATTGAGGTTACATTATTTCAGTCTATAAGAAATTGTAAGTACTCAGCAATAAAGGCGTCCAGTTCCTCTAATTTACTCTGAAGCAATAATTGATCTTTGGCCTCCTTTTCGTTTTGTAAACGTTTATTTCGCCTTTCAATATCGCGCAAAACACCAGCTTTACGCCTCTTAAAATATGAATTAAGGCTAAACAACTATCTAAATTTTGTACTTATAAAAATTTATAGAGATTTTACGAAAAGAGTTAGCGGATAAATAAATTGTATTAGATACGTCTCTTTCAGAATTTTGCCATATAGTGACACTTGTAACCACAATGGTGCTAAAAAGACAGGAAGTCCCAAATATGAGCCAAGCTTTGCTTAAAGGAGTCATTGTAACTTAGTAGGTTTAGTGAAAAATTTTTAAAAATGTACCACTAATAACTTAGAAAAGCAGTAAAATATATTTTATATCAAGGTGCAAGAAACAATCTCTCTAAATTTAAATCATGAAATATGTTCACAAAAGAAACAAAATAACTTGTAAAAATGTAGGCAATTTTTAAATTTTCCAAACATTCTTCCGTATAATTTAAAAAAATTAATACTAAGTTTTTAATACTAGAAAAAATATTCTCTTAGGGCCGGCCCCCTTAGCTATGAAATTTTATTATAACACGTGTGTTGAGGAATTTAAGCGAAGGATTTTTAAAATCTTTGTCTAGTATTTAGTAATTTTTTTGTCGTTATGGTTTTTTAATACTTCATCTACATTTATGTAAATGAAATTAACCGTTGGAGAAACTATTAAAATCCAAGCGTTTAAAAAAATAAAAATAAAGCCCAGTCATTAAGATTTACCATGAATGTGCTTATTTTACTACCAGACTACTATATTGCGTTAATATTGTAAAACAATACCCTAGTCTGGAACCACATACTATTTAGTCAACACTTTTAGCGGAACCTTAGCACTCTCGAAAACCCTTTTTGTTATAATTTTGTTTATAGAGGGTTGTTTTTTTTCTTAGTAACTTTTGTATTCCGTTTTTAGTTTAAAAGGCCAAGTTCCGATCTACGCCCTTTCTAATATCCAGTTCTGAGGCTCTGTTTCTATTTCTGTCTTGATTATTCTGGTGCTGATACTCTCTATTTAGTTTTGTTTAACCTTGCTTACTTTAGTTCCAAGCTACTTTTTTTATAGACCTTAATTTCATTAGTTTACCATTCAACTTTTAACTAATGTCAGAAAAGGTCTCTTTTAAGTCAACGTTGACTTTGAAAAAAGTATCTTGACCTAGGAGCCCCTTCTGCTGTCTGCTTCGTCAGTGAAACTTGAGCGGCGCCTCCATAGCGGCAAAGCGAAAATTAATATGAAGGATCTTTTGAATTTCCTTATAAACCTTTTCAACATTTTCACACGGAAAGTGGTTTCTAAAATAATTTTATGTTCGGGAACATTTTAAATAAAAAGGTACATGAATATAGGATTAAGCTTAGGAACATAAAAAAAAATCAGTGCTAAATAGAGCATTTTCTCAATTATAATTGGCGGGGTGTTATAAAAAGAAAAATTATTTAATAAATAAAAATATTTTTAAATTTATATTAAAAACAGGAGATATATAACTGAACAAAACAAACAGAGCCCTGTGGTAAAAATATAACTCATTCCGTAAGATATTATTAATCCATTTCGAGTCTACATCTATCTATTTACAAATGGTATTTTTTCGTGCTTGGCTTAATTTTCGAGCTCATAATAAGATAACAGTGTACAAATTAGTTTTAAGCTTGTGTTAACGCGACCTCCTACAAATATATTTTAAAATTATTTCTTCCCCGTATCTATATTATATTTGTAGAACCCATTGCACGGGCGGGATACCGTGCGCACCCAGATCTTGTAATTGACCTCGTTTGTCAGTAGTTGATTACTGTGCTGATTGAACCGTTAGCAGGTGGCGATAGCATCGTATTGAAATTGTTACCGAGGTTCAATTTGGAGGTCTTCATGTAAGGCACCGTAGTGAAGAAACCACGGCGTGCCCTTCATAAGGCGTAGCAGCTCGTTTTGTCTCACTCGAAGAGAAGAGACTATTGTCGGTGAGTTGTAGGCCAAGGCAAAAGACCCGTATGTAATGATTGGGCGGATACACAACACATACTGGCGTCGTTTGCTGTGCACCGAAGTTTGCTTCGGGCGCATAATAAAGGGGATATAATCTAAGTCACCGCCTTGAACTTCCTCGCGATATAGTTTTACGTTCGGCGGCTAACGAGAACTTATTGACAATAACGAACCTTAGTTATTTCGCCTGAGGGCCCCAAGGAATTACCTTGTTTTTCGAAGGTCAGCGACGGTAAGGGTGTGGTGCGCTTCTTCGTGAGGAAAAGGACTTTGTTCTTTTCCGCATTAAATGTAACCTTTTTTAACGACGACACCACTTGGCAAGCGTCACTAGGTTGGCAATTGGATAATATTGAATAGGAACAATCATATTTTAAAATATTTTCAGTCGTAACCCTCAATAGATATAAAAGAATTGCGCGGACGACGATAACATGCGTCATCCCAAGGTTCCTATTTAAGTATATATGTACACAATATAGTATATAACGAAACAGATACAGCAGCAAAAGACGAACACAACGACGAGATTCGAGAGATGGAAGCACATCCTCGGAAAATTGTTTCTACCCCACTGACACATCTCGTACACCCCAATCTGTGATGGTCTAACACCATAACACAGTATACACGACACCTAAGCCATAATTTAAAATATTAACAGAAAAACAATAATAAACATAGATTACAAAAACATATTGTATAATACATTAAGTATAACTTAGACAACCGTAAAACACAAGAAATACAAACAACAATTACAAACAAAAAGAACAAAAAAACAAAACACTAACCTTTTAAATTTTCACAAACTTATCCGTGATTAATCAAATCAGAAGCCTGGGAAACAATCTGGTTCAATTAAATTTACTATATATATATGGAAAGAAACATACTTTGACCTTTTCTAAAGGTATAAACACAGACCGAAACTTGTCAATATATCAGTACTTGCTTTAATTATACTTTTATATACGTTTAAACAAATTTCGATATAGACCTAAAGGGTCTGCACCTTGCACCTAATTTGGCGAGCACGAGCAATTTTGTTGCTCTGATAAGTTTATATCAAGCCTCCCTCCTGACGCGAGAATTTTAGGTAGTGTTATATTCTTAAAAATAAAGCGTTTTGTTACTTTTGTTCTTGACTGTTCTGCATAACTCTTATTTGTTTCCTATTTGTTCTTGAGTTTTAATTTAATTTAATTGCTCTTTTCTTATTTTCTTAGTGTTAATTTAAATATAGTTGCTTTATTATTTTTAATAAGTTTTTGAATTTCTATTACTCTAATTGCTGTTACTTGCGCGCCTTTTTATCTCCATAGAACGCTATAATCCTTTATATTCTTTACTTTGGTTGTAAAACCACCCGCATAACAGTGACGACTGATTTTTTCGAGACAAATAAACGAGATACTGGGTACTACTCGCAACTGCTTTGGAAACATTTTTTCGAGCGATGAGAAACCTAAAGACCGCAAATGGTTGTCAAGGTTTCGCTTATCGCGCCACCTAAAACCCTTTTAGAGAAGTTCTACTGCGTGCACTGCAAAAAGGACGAACCTCTGCTACTGTTGCAGAGTGAAGACGTAGACGTTCAGTTATTAAGGGAGACGCAAATGAAAGCGGGCGCTCTGTTGGTATTCTGCAACTACACAACGTACCGTCTTGAAAGAAGCGACGGAAGAGTGGCTATTTCGATGCAGGGCCTGAGTTCTTCCGCTCCATCCGACTGCTCTTTTAAACCTAAAAGGCGGGAAGGCCGTAAAGATCCATCGTAATTTGGCTGACACGAGGCCGACTGATGTGTTCCTGTCTAC